TCCAGGATATCTGGCTCAAGGTCAGCAATCACACTATTTAGGTTGTCTGGGACATCCAGATCTTTCTGGTATAATTCCTCTGTGAATTCTTGCCACCTCTTCTTGATGTCTTCTGCTTCTGTGAGGTCCCTACCATTTTTGTCCTTTATGTCAATCTTTGCACAAAATGTTCCTTTAATATCTCCAATTTTCTTGAACAGATCTCTGGTTTTTCCCTTTCTATTATTTTCATCTATTTCTTTGCACTGTTTATTTAAGAAGGCCCTCTTGTCTCTCCTTGCTATTCTTTGGAAGTCTGCATTCAATTTTCTGTAACTTTCCCTATCTCCCTTGCATTTTGTTTCCCTTCTCTTCTCTGCTACTTGTAACACCTTGTTGGACAGCTGCTTTGCTTTCTTGCATTTCCTTTTCTTTGGGATGGTTTTTGTTGCTGCTTCCTGTACAATGTTACGTGCCTCTATCCATAGTTCTTCAGGCACTCTGTCCACCAAATCAAGTTCCTTAAATCTGTTCTTCACTTCCACTGTGTATTCATAAGGGATCTGATTTAGATTATACCTGACTAGTCCAATGATATTTCCTAATTTCTTCAGTTTGAGTTTTGCTATAAGAAGCTGATGATCAGAGCCACAATCAGCTCTAGGTCTTGCTTTTGCTGACTGTATAGAGCTTCTCCATCTTTGGCTGCAAAGAACATAATCAATCTGATTTCGCTTTTGCCCATCTGGCCTCTTGTGTTGTTGGAAAAGAGTGTTTGTGATGACCAGCTTGTTCTCTTGACAAAACTCTATTAGCCTTTGCCCTGCTTCATTTTGAACTCCAAGGCCAAATTTACCCGTTGTTCCTTTTATCTCTTGACTCCCTACTTTAGCATTCCAATCCCCTATAATGAGAAGAACATCTCTCTTTGGTGTCAGTTCTAGAAGGTGTTATAAGCCTTCATAGAATTGGTCAATTTCAGTGTCTTTAGCATTGGTGGTTGGTGCATAATCTTGGATGACTGTGATGTTGAAAGATCTGCCTTGGATTCATAATGAAATCATTTTATCATTTTTGAGATTGTATCCCAGTACAGCTTTTCCCACTCTTTTGTTGACTATGAGGGCTACTCCATTTCTTCTACGGAATTCTTGCCCACAGTAGTAGATATGATAATAGTCTGAATTGAATTCACCTATTCCCATCCATTTTAGTTCATTGACGCCCAGGATGTCAATGTTTATTTTTGTCATCTCCTGTTTGACCACATTCAGCTTCCCAAGGTTCATAGATCTTACATTCCAGGTTCCTATGCAGTATTTTTCTTTGCAGCATCAGAGTTTCCTTTCACTTCCAGGTGCATCCGCAGCTGAGCATCGTTTTGGCTTTGGCACAACCACTTCATTAGCTCTGGAGCTACTTGTACTTGTCCTCCACTCTTCCTCAGTAGCATGTTGAACGTTTTCTGACCTGAGGGGCTCATCTTCCAGCGTCGTATCTTTTAGCCTTTTGTTTCTGTCCATGGAGTTTTCTTGGCAAAGATACTGGAGTGGCTTGCCATTTCCTGCGTGGATTGGATCGTGTTTAGTCAGAACTCTCCACTATGACCTGTCCGTCTTGGGTGTCCCTGCACGGCATAGCCCATATCTTCTCTGAATTACTCAAGTCCCTTCACCTTGACAAAAATCCATGAAAAGATACTGGAGTGGCTTGCCATTTCCTGCGCAAGGTGGATCGTGTTTAGTCAGAACTCTCCACTATGACCTGTCCGTCTTGGGTGTCCCTGCACGGCATAGCCCATATCTTCTCTGAATTACTCAAGTCCCTTCACCTTGACAAAGCAGCAATCCATGAAGGGGCTAAGTACTTTAAGTCTCTGCAAATAAGAGCTTTGCTTATATTTCTTTCTCCTTTTAGGTTGCAGGTGACAGAGGAGCATTTTAAAATATTGCCTATCCTTTTTTTGGCTTAGAACATTTATATCCCATTTTTCTACCTTACTATGAACATCTCACAAACATCTGTAAGCAAAAACAGCAATATATAATAATCATGTGCTGTCAAGTCAATTCTGACTTATAGTGACCCTTTTTCCCAGGGTTTTTGAGGTAGAGAATGCTCAGAAAGTGGTTTAGAATTCCCTTCTTCTGAGGGCACCCTGGGAATGTACAGCTGGCTCTACTCACAGGAGCCTACCTTACTATGAACATCTCACAAACATCTGTAAGCAAAAACAGCAATATATAATAATCATGTGCTGTCAAGTCAATTCTGACTTATAGTGACCCTTTTTCCCAGGGTTTTTGAGGTAGAGA